GCGACTCGGTGTCTTTGGCGTGATGGCTGCTCGGTGATGGCTGCTGCTTCCCGCCCCGCCTGCCACTGGTAAACGGGGCTGGGGTTCACACCCTGCCCCGCGTTGCCCTCCTTTGGGAGGAGTTTGGTATCGGTGTCAACATGGGAAGAGTTTTTTAATGACTTGGGAAAATGAGAGGGAGGTTCCAGTCCCCTCCTGCTCCCTGCGAGCAGAGGTACCCCCAGTTATGTGGGGGCGGCAGGTGAGGGTGGGCAATGGGGGGGATGCAGAGCACTGCGCCGGCAGCCGAAATGTGTGCAAACACGACAAAGCCTGGAGCTCCCTTCCTGTCCCAGAGACTCAGAAATTATGAAAATTACACCTGCCTGAGGCCACGTACTTACTGTTCTATTAACGCTTGGATGAGAGCAAGAGGAGGCGATGGGAGGGAGAGCCCTTCTGGCCTTTTCTTCTGACCTCCATCCCTGTCCCGCGCGGTCCATCCTTGCTCACCCCATCGGTGTGGCTGCGGCGTTTGAGCGGACCCCATCCCTAACTGCTTGGTGTACAAAAAGCGCGGGCTCTGGTCCCAGAAATGAGAAGCATGACAGCAGGGAGTGGGTCTGAAATGTCAAGGGAGGTTCTGTAGGAAGTGCCTGTCAGCAAAGTCCCTCTGCGTGGTGGATACCACTGACTTTGGGTGGGTTTTTTTTAATCTCCAACCAAATTTTCATACAAGTCGAGCTCTAGCCCTGTGGAAGAAGCAGCCTGACTTCAATGCAAGCCTCCCTGGCATATTTTAGAGGCAGAGGGAAGGAAAGAATTGCTCCTACAAGTGGACAGAGGAGGGTATTCTCCTCATGGAGGAGGTGCAGGTGAATTGCGGGATATTTAAAGGGTGCACACCCTGACGAGCCAGGCCATAGGGCAGAATGACCCCAGTGTTGCTCAGCTGGAATAAAAGGGGGCTGGAGAGCACCCTAGTGAGGGGCCACATGGTTTTGGGTCTCTTGGTGGCAGCGGGGCTCCCCTCACTGTGGCTCTGGCTGCTGGTGCCGGAGCTCCCTGCCGTGCTGCCCTGGCCGTGGCTTTCCCACATGAAGCTGGTGGACAAGGTGGCAGCCACACGGTGTGCATCACACCCATCAGTGCTGCGTACTGGGGTCTGTGATTCCCATTTGGGTGAGGGGTGTCTGCACCCATGCACCAGTGTCCCTGGCACCAGTGAGCCATCTGTATTACAAGTTATCCCACCCGGGCTGTCGACTCCCTCGATTGCTCCTGCTGTGCGTAGTATCAAATAACCCGTTTTGGGCTATTCTCTGCTTGTATTTTTAGAATAATTGCTATAAACATTCTTCAGGATCTTTTTTTTTAAAAAAAACAAACCACAACAACCACTTATATATTTAACAATATATATTTTTATATATATATATATCATTTCTAGATCAGTACATTCATCAGTACTTGTTTTTCTTCACAAACAGAAGAACTCTTACAATAGTAGACTTTCTAAAATAAATACTATTAAAATAGAGCTTCAAAATAAATATTCTATACAAAGAAAACCTTCTGTGGTAACTTTTCAGGGCGTATATGTGGTGGGGTGGTAACAGGAGAAAGTGGAAACCTTTATCAGCGTGTCCGAACGTGGGAGGGGAGGGGGAATACCCAGTGCTGCGAAAGGGCGAGGGCTTGTCTGGGTGGGAAAGCCGGTGCCTGGGGAGCAATGGTGTGGATTTAGTAGCTACTCCTTGTACCCAACGGGCACTGGGACAGAGGGTGCGGCGATGGTTTATTTGTCTGTTGAAGCCACTCTGCTGCTGGTGAGCTCCAGCTGGGAATGTGGCGTGGCATTGCCAGCGCGCCATAAAGTCACCCCTTCTTGCTCTCTGGGCCTTTGGCTTCTGCTTGTGGGCAGAGGACAAAACCCAGCAATGAACCTGCGACAGCAATTAGCAGTTTAGGGTCATAACACCGAAGTGCCCTGCCATCCTCCTCCTCCTCCTCCAGAGCCACCCTGTGGTGGCACAGCGCCGGTCCCGGGGGAACCTGCCCTCACCTCCCCTCTTGCCTTCGTGGTCCCACCCCACCACACTGGCACGTCCAGGTGCAAACGTTGTGCCCGAGGTTTGTGTTAATTAGCAGCCGTTGGTCAGTTTGCACGGAGGGGGACACGACCCGCAGGGAGGATGGCCAGAGCTGCTGCCTCTGCGCCCTCACCGGGGCTGAGGTTACACGGCACCGTGCCCGTGGTACGTCTCAGGGCTGGCAGGAGACCCAAGTACCTTAATAGGGGATGGGGGAATGGAGGCGTTGGGATGAGGGAAGAGAAGGGAATAGAGACGCTATCGACCCGAGACGTACCCTCCGCCAGCCCCGCGGCGCAGCGCTGCCGGCAGAGCCCCGGCTTCGGCCGACCCCAAGCCTTTCCGAGTACTCTGCAAAGAGCTCGGCGCTTTCTTGCCATGCCTGGGGCCAAAAGCTGATGGAGCAGAGTCTGACCGCTGTGCCGGGAGGCTGAGGAGAAGCGGGAGGGTCGCTCTGCTACATTTACCACTGCTCTAACACATCCACTAACACTTTACAGTCTTCCAGCATGGGATCGGCTGACACCATAGCAGGACTTATATATTAAAAGAAACCAACAGAGAAATAGTTTACAACTATGTACAATGAAAGGAAATCCATAGGGGATTGCTGGGTGTATATACATGAGTGTAGATTGGCACAGTGGCGACCACTCCAGCGTTGTATTTGCTTGCAAGGACCATGCAGCGAAACCATGGGCTTTGCTATTGCAGATTTTCAGCACAGATCCCCCAGGAGCAGCCACAGACAGAGGGGCAAAACAGCCATAGGCGGAGGCCATTTGGATATGTACGTTCCCAACAGAGGAGGGCAGCAGGTAAATACCTCTCCTGCTGTGTTTTCTAGCCTGTTTGTATCTGAAGAAAATGATTTCTCTTATTAAATACAATACCTTATACATTCAACCAACAGTTCAGCTAGTTTGGGGTTGGTTTTCCTTTTACCCTTTCCCCTCTCATTTGTGCAAGATAACAGATGCAGCTCTGGATCCCCACCTGCTTCCTTCTTTCTGGTGTCCCCATATGGTCAACACGAGGATAAACTATAGGAATTGGTATCTGGTGACAGACGTAGTATCCCTTTTCCTATGATTTATCATATACAAGCTAGCAAATGTTATAAATATAGAAAGTTTGTTGCTTTTTTTTTTTTTTAAATCCTCATTCAATAAATACCTACAATTAAGCTTAACTGAACCCCAAGTCATCCAGGTTAAATGAATTCTTAAAACAAAAGACACCAGAACTCCCATCAGTATGCTCTTGCCAACCCCTATGCAGCAACCGTATTGCAACCAAGCAAATGGGATTCCTGGAAATGCTACATGAGCTCTGCCTATTGCTTATCTAATTAGAGATGACATTTCACTGTCACTGCTGTGCATTTACTGAGGAAATTTCCTCTAATTTTTTTAAAAAAAAAAGAGAGAGAGAGAGACTAGATCAGTTTTCTACATGCAACAAGTACCTACCTACTTATTACAGTGTTGCATGTTTGGACAAAGATTTTTACTTAGCACCTTGTAGTTGTCAAGAGAAAGGGGTTACTGCATCTTAAGGGAATGCAGAACCGGCCCTAGGACGAGTGCACAGGCAAAGCCGATGACTTTCACTTACTGAAAACCATGGGCAAATTTCTTAAATATGCTCTCTTCCCTCCCCTGGCTTTCCCTAGCATTTGTTAACACTAAAATAAACATTAAAAGCATTCTCTACATTTAAAAAAGACACTCTTTTGTACAGAGGAGGCAAAAGTCGAACAGCAGCAATAGAGATGGGGGAATGGGCTGTACTTCAAGCAAATGCCATTCATCCCCAAGACAAAAAAAAAAAAATTATTAATATTTAATGAGCAAAGAAGAGCTTGTTCCAGGAGAGGAGGTACTGGATTGATATGCCTATAAAAATACACCTGTGTGTATCCTACATTTAGATTTTTGTGACTTCTTAACAGAGCTTAAGAGGTTTAGAGAAACCAACACTGAGCGTCTTAATTTTGTGGCGTAAGTTAAGATCCCTTTTGCTCCAGCACGGGGGGAGCAAGCATGCGGGTTGGGGAAACGGGATCCGGCCGGCATCCTTCTGCAGCCAGTTTGTACTGTTGATGTAAAATTAATATTCCACTGACTGAAACCTGATGCTACAGATCAGCTTATGGCAGAAGGACGCAATGTTTATACAACTGCCCGAATGCATCCTGCTGCTATTCTTCCCAGGGAGGGAGCAACCCTGCTACCATCTTGCTTTTAAAAAGAGGGTCCAAATCAACGTGGCCAGGTGGGTTCAAAGGAAGCAACGTGCCTAAACGTTAAGAAACCCTTAAACAAATGAACTGTATCTTTACTTCTGGCTCAAAATCTTTGAGGGACACAGAAAGCTTTTAAGAAACGTGTACTTTGTGTGCAACTGGCCCTTCTAACGGTGTGCGGGTGGGGAGGGAGGGAGTTAACCCATCACCTTCAACAACAGGCTGCTGGTAGCAAACTGAGTTTGGAAGGAAAGAGAAAACAAGAAGCCCACCCTGAATACGATGAATCCAACGCAGCTTTCTGCAGCCGGGAATGGGTATTGCTTGTGCGGCCGTGCCTGCCAAGCGAGCAGTTAATGGTTCTTGTGGTATGCAGGCATGGTGAGCAGCCGTCTGTCCGCCCGAACCAGGAGTTTTTAAGCAGCCATACTTCATGATATACATAGGTTTTCAGCCTTCACTCTACACATTATTAAGATTCCTCCTTTGGCCCCGTCTATTTAAATTCTGACCAGTTCCAAAACCCTGAATAACCCAAAGTGCTTCAGTTTGTGGAAATAGTTGCTTCTGCTTTCTCCGAAGGCAAAAGCCTCACGTTATCCTCAAAACACAGGTTATTAAAACCAGCCAATGCCACCCCCTCCGTGGAGCGTACTCCCACTCCCTGTCCTCCCAAATTATCAAAAGGGCTTTTCTGGCCTGCTTCCTTTGCTCTCTGGCAATGCCTTGCAAATGACACTGTTTGTGTTTTTGCATCTGCATCCGGGCCGGCTCACTTGGTCGTAGCATCTCTGGGACAGCTTGACGCAGCCGGTGGCTGGCAGGTAGCAGAGCAAGCAAGGGAGCACCAGGGAGAGGGCGCTCATGAAGGACCAGCGGGCACAGCAGTTTGAGTGGGAGCAGGAGCAAGGGTGGTCGGCACACGTGCCCTCGTCATCCTCGTTGGTGCAGTGGTAGAAGACGCCCTTGACGAGACACATGCAGGTGGAGTAGTTGACCAGGTTCTGTGCCGAGCAGAGGCACTCTTGGTTGCACACCCAGCAGGACGGCAGAGTCCGGGGTAGCGCGCACTCCTTACACTTGCATTTCCCACAGGCTTCACACAGGAGAAAGTGCTTGTCCAGTTCCTGAGACACGGGGCCCTTCAGGTCCAGGGGTTTGCAGTTAATCACCTTGGGCTGAATGCGAACTGCTCTGGGGGAGGACTGCTCTGCCACGGGCGCCGGGGCCATGTGGTCCAAGAGCCTTTGGTCTGAAGATGTGCTGCTGCTGCTGCTGATGGAGCTGGGGCGCCCGCTGAACGAAATCCAGGGGTGGGTGACATCCTGCTCGCAGCGCTGCAGGTGCTGGTTGGTCAAGACCAGTTCATGGGGGCCTCGGGGACGCTTCTGGGCTGCCAGCTGGGAAGCGGTGGGGTTGTCGGTGTAGTCGTTCTCTATGTGAGTTGTCTTCATTTGGTCGATCGGCAGGATGGTGAGCGGATGCTGCAGCCGCCCATAGGGGATCCGACTGTCCAGCAAGGGCTGGACCATCACAGAGTTGGGGACAACGGTGATGTTGTGGGGAATCCGGGGCTCCATTGATAAAACAGCTTGATTACTGGTGAAAAATCTGCTCTTAAGTATCCTGGGGGAAGGAAAGGAGAAAGAAAAGGGGTGGGGGGGGAGAGAAAGAGCGCATCGTTACTGAGTTATGCTGCAACCCCAGCCCAGACAGGGCTCTTTGCAAGGCTGGTTATTATGCAGAAGGTCTTCCAAGGCAAACTTGTGCGCGAGGGAGTCAGAGTGCTCGCCCAGGTGTACAGTGCATCTCTCTTCCTTTGCTACTGTTTTCCTCTCCCTAACCTTGGCCATATATAGCTGCTCGGGTCCCGGGAGGGGCACCGTTACTGCAGGCTCCTGAAGTGCCCATTCATCATTTTTACAGCGGGAAAGTACATCTTAGGGTTACTGCTGCCTATTCACATGTATTTTTGTCAGCAAACTGCCTGAAATGACTTATCTAAGGTTTGGGGATTTTTACCCAATTGACTCTGATCCCTAAAAAAACCTGACACAAAACTGTGGCTCGCAGGAGCGTCGGCCTGGTACAAAGATGCTTCGGAGCACGGGGCTGAGCACTTGTCCTTGCTCACCCAGAATGTGCCCGTGGGAGGGTGGCTCAGCTGGGCGAGGAAGTGTCCCGTCTCCATCAGGAGCTGCTGGTTTCAAAAGCTGCTTTCAGCCCTCCCGCGGGAGGTGGAAGTTCTTGCTCAGCAGCTTGTCTGGTTGCAAACCAGCATGAGAGCGGACGGGTACGGCTCACGGGGAGAGCACGCACACGGGTCGGACCTGTATGTCGCCTCGCGCAGGTAATTAGGCACTCGTCTTCAAAACATGAAGTGGACTAATATTTAGTTTAAGTGCTGTTTACTAGCTAAACTAGCTAAGCTGTCTATTGCCGCAGTTTCTAATTTCATTGAAAGAGTGCAATTTATCCTGGAGTCGGTCCAGAGATTCAGCAGTGGCAGAGGACAAGAAACCACAGGAAGTAACTAAACTTAAATCAAAGAACGGAAACGACTCGGTTCAAATTTAGAAAGTGCACATTGTTTTCTAGTAGATGTGCCATTTCCTCACGGGGTGACCTTTATTCATAAATAATATAATGTTGGAGATCAGTTTAAAGAAGGGGTGAGTAAAGCTTCAGAGCAAGTTTTTGGGGGGTGGTGGTGGGTGTAAAGCTTCTGGTGTCAAGAAAAAGGAAATAGCGAACAGCTTAAGGCATTGCCAGTTGTTTGTGTTCAGACAAACAAATTAACCTTTTCCAACAGCATGAAAGATTTTAGTATTACAGCAGTCTGAAAAAAAGTCAGGAAAAAACTGCATCCAGCTACAACCAAGTCACACACGAGAAGTGTGTGCGTGTGAGAGTAAATGTGGGCACTTCTCCTGCAAGAGCATATTCTCCCCCCCCCAAATTCAACCCAATGCGACAAAAATCAGAGCATGAACTAATTATGCATTTTTGGAAGGAGAAAGGGAAGTGCATTTTTACCCACTGAAAAAAAATATTACTAGAGTCCGCTATTATATTTGTAAATCGTTGCTTTGATAGATCACTTGGCATCCGAGGGGTTGAAAATCTGCCAGTTCTCCCAAGATCAATAGGAGAGAGGGCTGGCGCCGGACGGAGGCCAGAGCAGCAACGTGCGGGCAGTACGGCACATGCCGCCTCTGTCCGCTGGCACCGTGTCCTGCTGCCGGGCTCTTTGTCGGCGGCACAGGACGAGCAGGAAGAAGTGCTTTATCTACCAGTAACGATGAGTATTGTAATGCAGTCCTTATGCTGTTATCCTTCACTGGTTAAAATGCTCTGCTGGGTCTTAGCCATTCATGCCCAATTTTTTTTATTTTTTCATTATTCATAGCTCATTGACATCCTGACTCGAGGAACAAGAGAGTTTTTACAGCATCTATTCCTATTTACTGTATTTAAAAAATAAAAAGCAGCAATGATTCTGACAACTATGGGGCATGCAGAAGGAAAAAAACCCCTGATTTTCTTCTGTATGTCAGAATCCAGTGTCATGATATAAAAAGTACTTGCTGCAAGCCAGAATTTCGCAAAACAGTCAGTTCTGTATTGGCTAGGTGTTGTGTTTGCAGGAAGACTTTGATTTCGCAGGGTTTTTTTTGTTTTTTTTTAAGGAGAGAGATGCAGCTCTTTTGGCTGGCAAGAGTAAGCGCAGCAGAGCCGATATTAGATGGAAGGTAGCTGGAGGAAATGGTGGCACGCTGAATGACGTTACAAACCTGTCTGGTCCTTCGTGTCACTGACAGCACCGCCTTCATTGCCTTGCCATAATTTTGAAATAAGCTCTAGCACGGGGCTCTGGGTTCTGTCCTGAACTCAGTCCCACTTGTTACAAAGCTCGGGAGTTTGGTCCATTCCCAGTAGGTTTAGACTGGATCTGTGGGTCTTTATTTGTTTTAAGGTGCACTGTGTGCCAGCATGTGTGTTGGGGAGAGCTGTTTAACCCTCGGGCAGCATCCACCCCCTCTGTCCATGCAGTGAGGCTGATCTGATGCTGATTTTCCCCGAATCGGCAGCTCAGAGGCAGGGTGGCACATGGAGGGCGTTCTGCATCGCTGGCGGGGAGCCCCTCGCCCCGGCACGGGAGGGCAGGACCACAGGGCACGGGAGCAGCACACAGAGCTGGCATTTAGGCTTCATATTAACTCTCTAGTTGCACAGTCTGCAACGGCCCAGAACTAGCGATGACATCACATGGAAGCTATGTCATCAGATTAATTTGGAGAAGGATTATACCTCTTAAAACACTCAAACCCTTGGTACACAGACATGGCCATATGCAGGCAGACATTAAAAGATGGCTTAACCGAGATAATGCTAATCAGGATTTCACAGTTAATTATCACAGAAAGGAGATGAACCCTGGACTAAACACCGCACTTTGGGATAGTTCATGTTGAAAATTATTCATCATCTATTTTCATTGTAATACTGGTTCGAATTGTCTAACAGGCAAATTACTGCAGAGCAAGGGGAATGGAAGCCCTGGCATGGCAAACTCAAAGATCCTGCAGATATCTGGGCACAAGGTCGAGTTGGATAAAACCTCTGGAGCAAAGACAGCCAAATAAGACCCAGCTCTCCTAATTCCCAGATCCCTGTAAAACACCATAGATACACACACCACCAGTTTTTGGTGCTAGTGCTACATGTGGTCCTTTCGCTTCTGCCCTGCCTTCTCAGTCCTGAGCAGAGGGTTTCCACAGTTCACTGCTCTGACCTTTTGAGCTACACTTAAGCGACATAAACTTCTGATATTTATGGAATTTTCCAAAGACCGTGACTACATCGCGGCTGATGGTCTTGTCGCCGTAAGTTTCAGCAGTGAAGTAAGATTATTGGTGACAGAACCAGGTCAAACATCTCAAGTGCTGAACTAGAGAGTGAGCCGGGTGGCGTTCATTCTGCAAGGAGGTTCTCCTCCATTGGGATCTGCCCACATGACGACAATATTTTATGGTGGTGTTGCTTCAGTTTTTGTGTCTGTGTGCTCCCACTGGCGTGTGATTTGAGCACATCTTTCCCTGAGTTGTTTTTGCTTTAAGCTTTATGTCTGCATCCCATGAAAAGAAAGAATTCAGCAAAAGGTACCAAGTAGCTGTGTACGTACACAGCACTCCATCACTCATGGTAGAGAAGAGGAACCCAGGGAAGTTCTTGGGTTAAGGACTTGTGCTGGATCAGAAGCAAGTCAAGAAGCCAGACTGCTCACATGAAGTCTTGCAGACTGAGGTGTGCCTGCCTGGGATGGATCCTGGTGACTTCCCTGGAAGACCCCCAAAGGCATCAGAGCTTGACTTTTTTTGGTTGGTGTGTTCCCCAGAGGGAGATATGCAGCTGCAACCAGACTGAAACTGTTCCAGGATGACGGGAACAATAGAAGCAAGTCATCCTTTGAAATGCAATCAGTTTGCAGGCAAATATAAGGATTCCAGATACTCCTGTAAACAATCATGACGTAACATGTCCTCTCAGCAGTGGGAAAGCTCATTCCCACTGCTGCAGAAGCGGGACACTGTGCCCTTCTTTGCCTCCCCACCAGGAACCCATCACACACACGGGGTGCTTGTCAGCGAGGACAACATTGCCTTGAGTGGCAATATTGGTATCTTAGAAACTGCAGCTTCTGTTCCAGCCACATCTCCCATCAAAATTAGCATTTGGGGTGACCTGGAAGAACTTGAAAAAGGACAAGAGCTGAAGGGGTATAACCTTGGGGCTCTCGCATTGGTGCCAAAAGCCTGTGCAGGTGAGCAAGGTGGGGTTCAGAGGGGTCAATTGTGTTTTGTAGCTCCTGGTGTTGGCTCAGATGTTGAAGTGACCTAATTCAGCATACAGCACGACAAACTGGCCACTGTGTGTCTGAAGCAGCCTTGGGTAGAAGTGGTAACAAACGTGAGCACCTTCGGTTGGGAAGGAAGGCAAGAAAGAATAGGCTGAACTGTCCATCTTTCACCCCCCTTGCGCTACAGTGCTTGTGGCAGCCACCCTGGCAAACCAAAAAGGGGATGGTTCCTAGAGATGAGATGCAAATGTCACCCCCCCCAAGAAAGAACATTTCTGTTCCTAGGGCTCATCTGCTGCGGTAAGAAAGGACTGAAGTTTGCGATGCTGGTGGTGTGAACAGATCTTGTCTTTCTGGCAATGGCAGCTGGGTACTGCTTGCAGATACTGAATTAATTACTCATGTTGAACAGATTTAATATAACAAGATGTGTCATTTAAAGAAAACCATAGATTAAAAAAAGAAGAAAAATAGAAGAAGGGATAACAATAAAGTAGAACAGGAGATTTCAGATACTTGAGCACCACAACTTTGCAAAAGCTATGAAACTTTATGTAGTGCCTTTGTTGTCCACTGCACTAATCCATCCTAACTGTAAATTGCATTTTAATTGAGAAAAAATCCCATACAGAATACTTGTAAACAAAATTAGCTAATCTTTGATCATCAGTAATTACAGACATATTATAGCATTAACGTAGGCACAAATTCACTGGCTGC